AAGTATTCTGGTTTACACATCTATGCTTCATTTGTCCGATTTGGGCCAAAATTTTGGATAGTTGGAGACAAATTAGAATGGTCCAGTTAACTAATATAAAATTTCATCCACTACATTATTTTACATATGCTGGAGCATATTTTCCTTGACGTACTTATATTTCGAAACCACTTGTCTGATTTGGTTCAAAGTTGGAGGATAATTTTCAAATTAACCAGAATAAAACTTATCCAATTCCATCTAATACTTTTGTAAGAGTATGCGCAAATGTGCTTCAAAAATGGGCTCGCCCCATAGATCATTCTTATAAGATTTCAAACAAATAATTCTGAAATGTAGGCTATTATATTGATGTTGACTATATTGATCATAACTGGCAACTCTTTTTAATATAAATTATCTTTAAATAATATAATAAATAAAAGTATAAACCAGAGGTTTGTTGTTGGAGAAGTGAAACGTATATAAAAGGGCATTGTAACATAGAGGGGAAGTTTCGAGGGGCTAATGCTGCTTGATTCTATGGAGCGCTGGCGGTGGAACAAGATTAATTTGCCGGGGTCATTAGGGGCTCAGGTAGGCTGAGTAAATATGTAACTAGCATTCATGTGTAGGCTTTACCTGTTGCCAGCTCCTAAATGCTAAATCCCATTCCATATGCCTCTATAGTAGCTCACTACTCTATGCATATATAGGAATGTATAGGTATACCATGTGTGATAGATAGTCAGGACGTAGTCAGATATTAAGATTTTTAATGCCAACATTTCAACACAAACTTCGGGGTCATCGTCAGGACATGTTACCACCACTGAAGGTGTTCAACTACCATCATAGGTGTTCAAGAATCGAAATTGGGGACTTGAAGACATTCAGTGCTATTAACATGCTCGGATGATGATCCACAATTTTGGATTGAAATGTTGGCAATAAACACCTTAAAAAACTAACTGCGTCTTACCGATCTACCATCCATGATATGTAAAACAATCTACTAACTTCCTCTCCATTAACTTCCATGCCATTCAAGAGGTTTCTTAAGGAGAAAGGTATTAAACATAGAAATCGTTAAGCCGTTTTAATACAATTCCAACTTACAATGGGAATATCAAACAAATGTTATAGTGATTCTTCATCGAAAAATATTGATCACAATTGTCCCGACGTTCGTTACAATGGGTCATAGGAGTCAATTACCCCGTATTTTTAGGTTTTTATAAGTTAATCTATTCCTTTTTATGTGCAGGATAAGAAAAAAATGCCTATAGTATTGAAATAATTATAATGTATTTATTATACATAAGTTCTGATAAAAAAATAAGGAAATCTTCCCAAACGCTTATTATATCATTGGTTTTAATTTTTTTAGGGAGAACGGGTCGGTATCATTTCAAGTAGTTCATTCCTAAATTCCTAATAATTTTTGTGTGGATCGAAATGGATCTTGAAGTCATATCAATTTTTGTGGCTGTCAAAACAATTCCAAAGAGTCCAACAAAGGAACAAAGAGTGGAAATGAAATTTTCATTTTTCGTTTGCAATGAGAAATCATAATACTAAAATTTCGTATTTTAAACGGAATAGTACCTAGCACCAACGACCGCCAAGGTCTTGTAATCAAAATGTTCTTTAAACCATGTGCTAATGATGAATACAAAAATCAGCTGCGATAACATGCGATTAGGTAATCATCGGGCGGATTTAATCAAGAAACCAGTTCGAAAAAGTGCAAAATAAAAATCCTACCTTTGCGTAAATGAATGTACACCTAATATAATTTATACGTTTCCGTCATATAAAACTGTAGAAAAAATATTGAAACAAATAAAATTTTAAAAAATGCGAAAGAACAAATTTAAGATAATTTAAAACAAATATTTTGACTCAGCATTGAAATTAGGATATTGTTCTAGCTTATTACAATGTATGGGCATTGTTTTATTTTCTTTTTGTTGTAGGCAGATTGGCTCTCCTTCTCTTATCACTGCATTTTTCGAGTCTATCTATATCCTCTTGATAGTAATATAGGTAATAGGTATTTATAATTGATTCGGTAAATAACCTCATGCAAAATATTTTCATTTTTACCACTTATTACGTATAAAATGTATTTTATTTACTGTTAAAAAAATGACAATAATTTTAAATGTTGTTTTAACTACTGTACTCTGTCCCCACCACTTTGCAGCAGAATATTACAAGATTTTTTTATTTTATTTCTATAGCCTATTCTTTATACTAATATCGAATTGGAATGTACATACAGGAAGTAAAGAATCATATAAGAGTCAATTAAATAAATAATCATTTCTGAAATGATGGGCAAACGTCCGAGGAGTAGACCGAAACGTAGATGGGAGGGTTGTATTAAAGATAATGCTGTAGATTTAGATGAATTTGGATTCATAGATTTCAATGAAGCGATATAGACGACGACTATCTCTGGTATAGTCATCGAGCCTCATCGTTGGCTAAACCTTACTGTTATATCTATGGATCTAAATAGTATTAACAAGAGCATTGAAGAAGATTGTAATCCTAAAAGGGTTTAAGCATTCTATTTATACCCGACTTATTTTGTCGTGTGAACTAGTGAGAGCTAAGCTAATCCCAAGCCCTGCATTCCGCTGCAATCTAAGCCCATCTGAGAGCGTTAATAAGCACCGGACCAATTAAAGAAACTACTACAAAATATCCACTCCTCTTTAAATGAACTCATTAGACCTAAACAGATCGGGGAACCTCCTTCCTTATCTTCGGGAGATAATGAGCCTCAGCAGATGGTGAAGCCCCTTCCGTTTTATAAATGAATCCTGCTAATATTTATTGGACCCGTTTCAAATTTTTTATTTATTTTAAGAACTAAATGATCGCTAATTAAACCTGTTTATATAACCCTCGACTTAGCAATGTATAAAATCAAGTAAGCATGATGAACACTGGCTTTATTCCCTAAATTAAAATCCATAGAAAATAAATAATTATTTAAATAATTTCCATAGGTGTGAATGAGTTTTAGATTATGAGATGAATTTAAATTATTTATTTTTAATTAAATTTTATTTGTGTTTGTTATTCACCTTTAAATTTGTTTTTGTTTTCAATAGACTTTGAAACCATTATCTATTTGTGTCTTTTTATTTATGTAGCCATATATTCTTTAATTTTATCATTATATCTTTATTACTCTTATTATTATTTTATATATTCGTATGTTTTTTTTTTAAATTTGTTCTTAATTACTTTAATTTATTTTTCTTGTATGTATGCATATAATATATTGTATCAATGGTTACCTTTAGCCCTAATATGTTTATACCTGGGTGTGGCATATTGTGTCATTACTTCATAATAATAATAACAAAAATTACATATTTTATTATAATTTTTACGACAAGCTTTTGGAAACTAAAAACTTTAAACTTCAACAACAATTATTTCATCATAAATTTTGAGAACATTTTTAAGAACTTCTCATAAGAACAATAAAAATTACATACCAATATTCACGTCTGATATCCATTATTTAAAATAATAAATTATTTTATTTCTTCACAAAATTAAGAATCAGTAGATATCGCTTAAAATATTTTCGAAAATATAGTTAAATACTATTAAATATTGGGATGATTTAAATGGAATAACAAATCACATAAATTGTAGTTAGATGAATAAAAACAATATAAACCGGGAAAAAAGAATAAAAGATAATACCAAAATTTATTGAAACTAGCAATATCATACATAATGGGCAATTTAAGATAACAAATTATAAAATATGTAAGGGAAGTTTAATAATGACAAATAGCCATTTAATTTACAAAAATAATGACGCTATATTTTTAAAAATGATTAAGTAGAGAAAGACAAATTTAAATAATTACAAAAAGAAAGGGACACAGAAAAATATACAGACAATAATTCCAGATTAAGGATAAGATTAGCCATATTGAAATAATAAATACGGCTAATTAATACTTTATGGATAATTTATTGATTAATAATAAAAATTAAGTGTAAAAAAAAATAAAATAATGCCATAACTTCTAGAATGATTAAACATGATGATAATGATTAAACACATATTATTCAATTAAAGGTAATTGTTTTCAGCTCAAATGGTTACAAAACACTCAACAGATCTTATCGAATAATTTGAGACATCAAACTTAAAAATTGATCCAGCCGTTTGCTTACAAAATCGTTACATATCTGTTTGCAGATTGATTAAACAGATTTTATTTATTCACGGTTCAGTGTTTTTTGCTGAAATTATTTCGAAACACTCAAGTAATTTCACCGGAATAATTTGAACCATCAGACTTAAAAAATGAACATGGCGTTCATTTAAAAATTTGTAACATAGCTTTTAGCAGACATGTCTTATGTGTCATGTCGTTTAATTTAGTCGAGTAATAAATAAAATTAAAAAATGAGAATTAGGAACCTTATAATGCGTATACAATTTTATACTCAGATACCCATTCAAACACATACGTACACGGAAAAAACAATTACCACATTTTGATTTTTTTCTCTTTATAATTTTGTCCCTTTTTTTTCCTCTTTATAATTTTCTCACTTTATATTTTTCTATTTATAATTTCGTGAATAAACAATGCCTAATTCGTATTAGTGTTATTACCTTAATTTCAACGTTTCAATTTGTTCTTTCAATTTCCTTCTCTGTTACCTCCGCGAAGCAGATTAGAAAGAAAATAGCCAAGAGGCCTACTCCTTCAATAAGAACAAAGTCTATCCGAATAAAGTAAATCAAGAAAATTCGCAGTAAATAATCAGTACATCAAATTTGCCTAATGGGCTAACACGCAGGTGCAAATGTCGTAAAATATTAAAATAAATGCTCTGTAAGAAGATCCATTTTTCATAAATAATAAAGCCTTTAAACAATGATAAAAAAAAATTAAAAACTTTTGTCTCTCTAGCTGCTTGCTTTACAGTTGCAAGAATTCTTGGTGTATGCTGGGCATGCTTATTTTTTACCATAGAATTCTATAATTTTTACCTGAGTCAAAAGAGACTTCGCTGATCATAAGCCACCTCGAGGCGAAGTAGAGCTGGAGTTTGATGAACCTGCCAACCATGTGGTGAAGTTTGACCGTGACGTTTCGAGCGTGCTCCAACACGACATCAGGGATGTAGGAGGAGTGGATCGGTGCGCCGGAATACATGCGGCCTCCCACGCTCATGTACACTTTTGCGGCCGAAAATACCTGAAAAATAAATTATGGCATATCATCAATAAAAAATCATCATTTTACAAATTAATATTTTATTAGAGTGGAGAGGGGTGAAAAAAAGTGGCGGGGAAGTTAAGTAGTCTATTCTGGAAAACAGCATCCTGGCCTTTTTGGCGAGACTAAGACTAATTCCAAGAAGAAAGAATAGGATGTTATTAAAATTTTATTTATTTTTTTTTAAATTTCTTTATTGAGTATTATAACAATCTGTCTCTTGGATATTGGTTATAGTGAGGTAGGATGACATTCACACTATATGTACAAAAAATAAAATAAAATCAATAGAAACAAAATAATAATCAAAAGTATATACAATAGATAATAAAATAAAATAACCTAAAAAATAAGAAAATTAAAACTAAGCAAAAAAACAAAAACACATGCATACCTATATACAATGAGGCGAGGGAACTCCAGGAGAACCCTGCGTTACTCTCCCAACCGCGTCACTGGTACTAAAGCCAACGGAGATTGATCAAGAGCACTAAATTTTTTTTTTTTTTAATAACCACAAAAATTATTCAGTAAGTCCATACACAAGTTGATGGGTAGAAAATAGTTGTTGATTGTAATAAAAAATAATTTAAATAACGCAATAATGGTATTGGCATCAATTTTTAACGCTAATGAATTTTTCACAAACTGGTATCAATAAGACTTTTATAAACCCCAATCTGAAGAAAACACTACCAAAAAACTTAATCGATTTCTATGATTGTTTTTTGTGAAAGTGTAACAAATAACATAATTAATATAATTACAAATAGCAAGCAGGGTTTAATTATTACGGGTGGTCCCAATTAATGAAAATATACAATATTATGCTGAAAGCTGGTACAAGTTTTACCCGTAAGTGATTCTTTATCATTAATTTTTTTATTTAAAGCCCAAGGTAGATTTTACTTTACTTTGTTTCAGTTTAACGTCATTGATAGGTTAACTAAATAAAACCACACAAAAATCCTTTGCTCTTTCAACAATAAAGGAACAGACAGAAGAGTAATTCTTTGGTTTTTGATGGCATCTTCCAAGGATGCTATGAAAAAGCGAACTACCGACCGTCTCAAAAGTTAAGATATAAAATTTTATGCGTTACCGATCAAAGTGTAATAATGGCCAAGAACTCAGGTCACCCCGGCTCATTTCAAGTTCCTGCCATCATCGCAAAAACTCGCACTCTCGTATATTTTAACAATAACTACTGGCATTGGCTCAATAATTTTATTGCATACTCAATTTATATAATCTAATGTCACGAGCTGTGGTCTGGAAGCGGTGTAATAAAACCAGTACGAGAGATGGTGGTTAAACAAAAGGTCAACTTCTACATCGCAGATGAGCAATAATCAACTTATATAGAACATAATAAAAAAATAATAATATAATACGAGACTCGTTTAAATAGCTGAAGCACATGGCATAAAATGTGTCGGAAAAAATATTCAAATAATAACTTTTCAATATATATTATAGTAACAAACTACTTTATTAAAAGTAAATTAGTTTCAACTTCACCATAATATTTTCACAATAAAGTGTAAATTAATAGAGCTTTAAAAGTCAGCGAAAGAAACTTAAAATTATTTATATTATTGATGTATGAACATAAAGTACAAATTATCAGGTATCAGTTTTAATCATTAGATATTGTAATAAACGACTTTATTATGCTTCATATTTTTCTTTTCAGGGATTTTATAATTTAATTTTTAATATTAATTCAAATAAATTTAGGAATATAAATACCACTATATTTTTATTAGAAGCATTTCATTTCTAAACAAAAATTTAATATAAAATTTAAAAAAAAAAATGTATTTAATGGTTTCGTTTTATTATATTATTATTATTACCTATTTTTAAACAATTAATTTCACCTTTATTATATTTATAATAATCGGGAAATTATTTTTGGCCATTTTCAAAGAAAATTAATCATATATATATATATATATATACAGCTATATCTATATATCTCTCTCTCTCTCTCTCTCTCTCTCTCTCTATATATATATATATATATATATATATATATATATATATATATATATATATATATATATATATATTCATCATATCAATTATTAATATATGTATTTATATACATAATTAATCACAAAGTGAACTTCTAGGATCTTCTATTTATTTTTATTGCTTAGTATATTATCAAAATTTCCAGGATTTATCTTATCCCCGATTTAACATCCAACATAATTTAACATCCAACTATAACAAGTTATAGTTATCGTACTTTTTTAAATATTTAACTTATTTTCAAATTGGCCAGACACTTATATTCATAATCATTTATACATAAATATATAACTTTACAAAATTTCTTCAACTATGAAGAGAATAATGGAATGTTAAATAATTAAAAAAAGAAAAAAATGGGAGCGAAACTTTGAATAAACAGCAAAAACAATGAACATTTAGTAGTTTATTAAGTAACCTTATTCTCAATTAAATAATTATGTTAAAATATAAGTACATAACTAAATGTTTGACAAAATAATGATATAAAGGTGTGAATAAATTTAAATACTATTAAAAAAAGAAGAAAACAATGCGTATGTGTATGCGTGAGTGTGTGTTTGGGAATAAGTAGTGTTCTTATTCCTCATTCTATTTCAATTGTTATTAAACACATAATTATTTACTTTTTTTTTTATTTTTTAGATTTAATCTGACATTAGTCTTGATAAGAAGTGTAAAACATATTAGAGAATAAAATAGAAACAGAATTATTGCAACAAGTTTTTTTTGTTGACGAGATGGTTGTGCCACGACACACCAAATATTTCAGATGATGGCTCCCATTGAGAGGACCTTAAGTAATGTATTCTATGAAAAGGACACGACATCCGCGAGATAGATATGACGTGAGAAGTGGACGCAATTTCCTCGCCCTGTCCCTCAACGGCAGCTAATTTCCTAGGCCGCGGCAGAATGCTATAGGGCTACACAAATCACCGTGTCTTCCACACCTGCCCTTATTGAATATAATGAACGGGAAGTTGTCCCTTTGTGGGCGAACGGAGCAACGCGAGGAGGTGATAGGCGAAGGGTTCTGCAAGTCTTAGTGGTGGACAGCAGAGCGTCAGTGTATAGCAATATTTAGTTTGAAAAACGAAAGAATAAATCCGTGAGAAACGATCCAAGGATAAATAATAATATAGTTAATTAGGTACATTCTCCATATGTACTCTTATTATTGGTATTTTTGAAATTAAAGTTAAGTGTAGACAATTATTTTTAAATCTCAAAATAACTTTGTACGAATTTTAAAAAATCTACAATTTTAAAAATTGTTTGTTGCCTTTTTGAAATGCAAAAATGTTGTCAATGCTCTACTATTTTGAAGTAAAAAAAATATGTTAATGAAAATACACTTGCCAAAAGTGTGACAACAGACCTACTAATTGAGTGCCAACAGTTTAAGCCAATCAGACAAAAACTAAAATTAGTAACTACAATGAAAGATATATTGGGAGGCAACGAACGAGGTCACTACTTTATTCAAATACTTGGTAGAAACTCAGTATTATAATAGAATAAAAATACTTACCGCCAATGACCTCTAGAGTAGAGGCAAATACAAAAACAATTATTGAAAATCAAAGCAGAATTTAACAATTTTTTTTTTATATATTATACTCTGCTGGTAATATTATAATCCTTAATTCGAGGGAAAAATTCAAATTTTTGGAACATTAAATGAGCTCTTAGAGTTGAAAAATTAGAGACAATTAGGTTAGGACCAGAATAGAGGTGTTGCTGAAGAAGATTAAGACAAAGTGACTGGAAGACCCTAACACTGCAATGACTGGACTTAAATTCCAGAAGAGATTGGCTGTTTGCCGACAAAGGGACCTGCCATACAACTGTACCTCTCTGCTTCTTATAGCGATAGAATCCACTTCTTCTGTGTTGGGCCTCTGGCGAAGAAATCGTTTCATGTTTATAACCAATTCCACGATTATGTCTTATGATTTTGAGACTATGACTCATTTTAAAGTATCCGTTTTGGAATAATTATTAAGACTTGATGGTTTGATGGTTGCAGAAATAAAATCGTTTACTATCAATTGTATTATCATCAATAATGTGCAAATGTCTTAATTTTTTTTTTGGGAGGGAAGTTCTATTCAATGGCAAGTGGACTTAGAGTATTCTAAACACATTATTCATGCTAAAAATAATACAGAGCAGTTTTATTATTGTTATTGATGATAAATAGAAATAATATCCATAAACATTAAGCAGTAACAGAACATGTTAAAGGATTATAAATTAAACAGTAAAATATTGAATTCGAAAATAGGAAACGATGGTTTTCTTCTTCGCTACCGAAAGTAAGGACGCTTTATATTTATATTATGAGTCAATCCATTAAAATTATTCAAAAGTTCATCAATTATTGAATTGACTGCTTTGAACAGGTTTCCTAGTTGAACAGGTATCCAAGTTGTAATTTAAAACTAATTAACAAATCACATAATTAATTAACAATAAATATAATCAATTCATAACTAATTAACTAAAGGCCTGTCATCGTTAAACCACTTTTACATGCTGAATTATATCTCTCAAAATAACGTTTTTACGGCACGTTTTGGTTCAATCTCTTCATTCTTCTAACAATACGGTGTGAATCACTATATCATCATATCATCTACAAATGAAGATTTATCTTAGAACTGCGGAACAAAATTACCCACTAAATTTATAATAAAAAATATACAAATGGCCACTCTTGCAACACGGCGATATTCACTTCGTTAGGCAAGTCGTAACGCCTCGTTGAAGGATCTCGTGTCCGGACAATAACAACAGGACATTTATGAAAAGTGTGATGATTGATAAAAGGCAATTTAATGTGACAATTCTCCCAGAAAAAAAAATTTGCATACAATGTCAGACCTCAACAATACGCACAAGTTTATTATAAATTTACTAAGGTATAATGAAGGAGGGAATTATGAACGGCTTGATATAATTCGTCCATGAATATTTCAATGGTCCCTAGAGAGCCCACAAAGGTCAAACTTGCCGCGATAATAGGTCCTTAAATTGGCCAACAATGTATTGCGAGCACTAGCAAATATTGGACACAAAGCCGACCTTAACTATGGCAATAACGACCAATTTGCCGAATGAGAACTACTTAGAGGAAGCGGCCAATGTTGGACCAAGCGGTACCATTGAATAAATACGACAAACAAAACACTCTGCGGGACGGATAAACAAAAGTGTGCTAGCCGCAGATTCTCATATTCCATGATGACATATTGTCATATCATGTGACTTATATGGTCTACAGTTTCGGGTTTATTTAAACATTCATGGATGGTTTTTCGCCTGATATTTTTTATTAGATAAAAACATATAATGGGGGATTTCTTAATAAAAGTTTATGATTGGTTTAAACGTAAAAATGTACACAAACTTTGATTAGAGATCTAAACTGAGCCAGTTTAAAAAAGTTTCATGACACTGATTTCATATTATATGTTTCATGTTATAGAGTTTTATTATGGTGTAAGTTACGTCCAAAATAATTTGAGGTGGTCAATTTTTACAGGGTAATGAATTTTTGAAAGGAAAATATTTTTATAAGATTTAGATATGGGAGAACATTCAAGCCATAAATTAGGGATTATTAAGTTTTTATAATTCTTCTTTCGCTTTCAACATTTTGAATGAGACAATAGCAGAATTTCTTAGATTACATCGTACTTGGATAGATGATCACCCATGGGCAAAAATATGTTAAAGAACAAATGAGATGTAATTTTATTTGTTGCAAGAAATAACCTAAAGATGAGTAGTTTAGAAGACCCAAAATCCACTTACAAAACATTGGAACCCAAGAGTACGAAAACCAAGAACATATTATTTACAAATAACCCATGATTCATATAACTTATTGTTTGAATGATATTTAAATTATTCACTAATGGAATAAAATATTATCGAAATCGGATTATTATTAGAACAAAGTCTATTAACATTGTAGTTGTGTTTCGGTTTACTATTTTCAGTAATGAACCATTATCCCATTTCTTTTCACTGCTTTTTATCAAATTATTAACATCCACCAAAAACTTCGTAAATGGTTTCATCTTATTGTAACCTAAAAATTTTGCATGTATTAAAATTCTAAGAACTGGGATGTTTTCTCGTTAAATTGATTAATTTTATTGAGTAAAATCTTCATTTTTCATTGCAATTAAATCGTAATATAATTTAATCACAAAATCGGGAACAAAAGGTGGCCTTCAAAGATATTTTGGACCGTTGGACACCTATACAACCTCGTTATAGAAATGTTGGAGGTGGCCTAGTAAATACCCATTTGCTTTCCACTTGAATCATAATTTAATCAGAAAATCGAGAAAAAAAGTTGGCCTGATAAAAATATTGAATCGGTCGGCGTGACCTCCACTCTTAAACATGTTAAGAAATAATAAGGTTGTATAGGCCAAATGGCCCAATAATTTTGTAGGCCACCATTTTGAGATCAAATTATCTTACGATTCAAGTGGAAATCGAATGGATGTTCATGAGTTTTTAGTACCTAATTAAATAGACAAAGTTTGTCTATTTAAGATTAAATATTTTTTACGATATCCAGATTGAAAACGCCCCAATTCGGAGAATTTTCGTAAAAAAAAAAGTCACAGTTCACGATGAGTTTAAGCTATTCATGAAGTTATTGTCGGGTGTTCATAATTTGATGAAAAAGGATCCGCACCATTTCTTTTTTCTATTTATTATGCCATGTAAATAATTCCAACGAGTATATAGCATATTAGAAGAGGATAAAAAGGGAATAATAAAAGGTAAATCGATAGGCTCGTATCCTCTATTACCAAGTCTTTAATGAGATGCTTTCGTATATAAGAGGTACAACTCGCACCAGTAGTTTATATTAGAAGAAACGTATCGTCCATAATTTATTGAGGGTCTGCTAAGTGGAAGAACTTCTAAACGACCTCCTAACCTTATGTAGCAATAATCAATATATCTTGGACGATTTATCAGTGCTGTTGATGTCGGAATGACATGACACTACGAAATTAGCCAAATGGGATGTTACTTACTGCTGGTCTAAACGAACGATTGGTCGCAATGATATATGACAGAATCGCCATTTTAAATATCAATAGTAATGAATTTTTTGGAGGTAGGGAGAAGGAAGTGCAAGACTTCCGTTGAAGACCTATACTGCATCTTCAAGCTTTGCAGATAGTAAGAGATATAAATAGGTGTACATAAATAAAATTGAAAATAGATTCAATGAAAAAATAATAATCCTTTTTTTAAGTATGTTTTCATTCATATTTATATTACATCAACAACATGTATCATCATTAACGCATCATCATGTAGTCATCAACGCCGTTAATTATAATTATATATTATTATATCTCTTGGTTATAAATATTAAGGATTGGATAAAATAAAAAAATAAAAAATGTAAAATGCACGTCAAAGTTAAAAGTTGTTTATTGTTATTAAAGTTTAGTTATTTAAAGTTCGCACGTTAGGTAAAAAAAAAGAAAAAAAAAATGGTAAGAGGAAAAAAAGAAGTGGGGAGTGCTGCGTGAGAGGTTCAGATATTTATATTACCTATACCAATGTCACAAAAATAAAATATTAATTACTTACGTTAAGTAAATTATATGAAAAAAAATCTATTCATAATTAATATATTTTTTATATTTATAATATAATATGTTTATATATTTGTATATTTATAATATAATATATTTATATATTTGTATATTTATAATATAATATATTTTTATATAATAAATAATATATTTATATGTTTTTATATTTATAATATAATATGTTTATATATTTTTATATTTATAATATAATATATTTATATATTTTATATTTATGATATAGATTTATAATTAATATATACTCTTAGAAAATTCATGAATGTGATAAGGGCTTTAAGTGAGAAAATCTCCCTTATAGAAGTGAGAAAATCAGCGGCATCCAAACTACCACTTGGAGGACTTCTGTAATAATCTGTGGTACAAGACCCCGTTACAAGAATTTTGGTAAATAAAATATTTGTAGGTTAGGATGAGATGGAGCTATTTACGATGTTTCAGCCGGATATTAATAATTTGATAAAAAGAGGTCTGTACCACGGACTATTTCGTTTTCATATAGTAATTAAAACAAATACATATAATAAATATTATATGTTAATTAAAATAATTTAAACATTCATATTAAATATTTTAGACAATGAGTTTTTAGCAGTTTTATAAATCAGTGTTAAGGAAGACCATTGCATCTAAAGAGGATGTTGAGAGTTAACGGTCCAATTAAGACCGCATCAACCACCAAGTGCTCCCTCACATAATAATTTTACAAACGCGCTAGCATATTTTTCGCAGACAAAGGCTGTTAAATTATTGACAAGGGACTGAGGGTGTCTTTTTGTTTTCTTGTTTGGAGATCAAAAGCTATTTGTAAATATTTTAGTGGGAAATTATGGTAGGTCGAGACGAGATACTTGTTTCGTCGGTCTGAGATTTTTGATAGTTATTATTATGGAAGACAATAAAGTGTTGAGTTTCATTTATATATGGTTTTTTTAGATGAGTTCAGAGGTTTTAATATCCAAACGGTTTATGTTCTATTTAAATGATCAAATAATTTTCATTTCAAAAAAAAGATCATTCTCATTGGAGCAATATGAGAATAAGTGTCCAATCAAAACAAATTTATTATTTTTATAAAACATTTGATATTTATTTTTGGCTGGACATTAAATGTAAATAGTAAACTTCCTTGTTGATTTAAAGACTCTAGTTTTTTCTGGATTGAAGAAAAATGCCCTCTATTGACAACTGTATGAACAAACTTTCCAAAAGAAAGTTTTAAAATAGTACCGACCCCCTGTCCATTACTAGAACAATTTAATTTC